TAGTCCTGGTTCCAGCCCTGGTTTCAGCCCTGGTTGTAGTCCTGGTTCTAGTCCTGGTTCCAGCCCTGGTTCCAGCCCTCTTGGTGGCTCATGATGCACGTTCATACCAAACCGTTCCTGCAGCATCTGACCGTGATGTTCCTCTCCTCTGGTTTCTGCATCTCCAGCAACAGCACACACTGATGGGCTGAAAGCATTTTGGAAGAACTTGGATTGGAGACGCTCATCTGGGCCAGAACTCCAAGTTCACATGAGAAGATCCAGTTCCCCTCAGGCCCCTGGACGCACACACACACACACACACACACACACACACACGCTCACACTCACACTCACACACACACACACACTCACACTCACACTCACAAGCCAAACCCAGCTGTATGTGACCATGCTTCCAGTAGATTTCCTCCCTGACACCAAACTTGAACTGATTTGGGTTCAGCTCAGCGTCTGAAGAAGCTCCCTGTTGGTTCTGGTCTGTACAGGAAGTGCAGTCGTCCAGAAACAGAAGACAAACGCCTGCATCTCTTCCTGTGAGCGTTCCTGAGCTCCTCCTCGTCTGCTGCTGCTTGGGCTCTCCAGGAGGACTCTGTGGATTCCAGTGACTCCATCATGAATGTCACCATCACTAAACAGTGTCTAGAAGCCCAGTCAGCCCAGTGCAGCTCATTTAAAGTTCTCCTGCTCAGAAGTATGATTACTGCAATTATGAGCTAAGAGCTAGAAAGAAGCTCAGAGTATGAACAGAAATCCAGTCCCTGTTAGCTTCATCTGAAGAGCTGAAACGTTGGTGTTCCTGCATGCTGGTGTGGAGCAGGGATCCCAGGACTCAGTTCTGCTGTGACCCGGCGCTTCTGAGACGGAGAAGAGGTGAGAAGTGTGTCTGCTTTGCATGGACAGAGTCAGTTGAAGCTTCACTCAATCTTCACTTCTGCATGACAGTCAGACAGAAAGAAGAGTCCTGAAGCCCAGAACTTCCATCTCTGACACATTTCTCGGAGGCACTCTTCTGCCTGAAAGCCTATTTCTCATCGTGACTTTAATCCTGTTTCCTCTTTATTGACACGGGATCGTTAAAGTTCCATCACCCGAGCACGTCATCCCGTTGTTCCTCAGACACTGGAGCAAACCGGGCCTGCAGTTTGCCTTCAGCGCTGAAAGACGTGCAACTACGATTTCTAAAATGTCAAGACATTCCATTAGCTGCTGCTAAATCCTGTCAAGATGCTGCACCGTGCATTTATTTTAACAAGCTTAAGCCTGAGTTATTCCTCCCAGGTGTCTCTTTTGGATTTTCTTTCCTTTCTCTCTTTGTGTTTGGAAAAATGTCCAACATTATCTGCAGAAGCTACTGGCAGCAGCAGTCTTATGAAACACTGCTTGCTGCTGTTTCCACTCTGAAACGTAGTCCAGAATTCATACGACCAAAAGAAAAGGGAACGGCACCAGCCTCTGAACAACCACACAGCAGCTTGGTTATCCTGCAAAACTCCAAGTGACCCAAAGATGCTACCGCTGCATCAGAACCCTACATCTGGCAGCTGTGCTAATCAACACATCATCAAATCATGCCGTGCCAGCGGCGACGCATCGCCTACCTTTGTGTGCTGCTGCTGCTGCTGCTGCTGCTGCTGCTGCTGAGTGGAAGTCTCACAGAGTTCTGAGGAGTCTGGGACAGACGAACAGCAGCCCTGGTGAGGGTTTGGCTTTTATCTACAGGTGGGCGGAGCTGCACGAGCTGCGAGACGAGAAGCACTGGATCTGTGCATGTGAGAGGGAGGAAAACAGGATCTGTGTGAGGGAGACAAACCACCGCTGGAACTGCATGTTTGCAGCATTAGAGGTTATTATACACAGAACCAGAGCGAGGGGAAAAGAGGAAACCCAATCAGCTGCACGGCCATATATCACAGGGAGGAAGATTCTCGTTTGACTTGGACCTCTCAGCGCATTCTTTGCATGCAGAAAGATTTAAGGGCAGGGTCTGACTCACTCTGGTTAGCCAGCGCTGGCTGAGGTCGGGCTCTCGCTGAGAGGGGAGGCTTTTGTGGCAACATCAGTCCTCACACAGTAGTTGATAAAACAATCACAGCACAAGCTCGACTCAGAAGCTGATAGAGAGCTCAGGTTTCATTTTTACAGGGATTTTCAAATCACATGGATGAGAGAAAGAAGCCACTCAGTGCCAGAGCTACACTTTCCCCTCAGTCCTCATGTGAGCGTCTGAAAGCAGAAAGCAGAAAGCCCTCCACTGGTACAGACGTGTCCAGCCGCCCCAGCAGCTCTCTGAGGCGACACTTAATCTGAGCACAATGCTGGATAAATAGAAGGAACCAGTCTGGAAGTCCCTCTCTGGGGACCAGGACTCTTCAGAATGGAACCAAGCTAATGACTGTCCACCCAGCGGTGATGGAACACCTCTGTTCTGAAGGTGGACCAAACAACGGCAGCCTATCGTTGAGCTGAAAGCTGTTTTACTGGAGATGTTCTACAGACATATGAAACATAAGACTGTGAGCTTCTCTGTGATCCGTCATGAAGATGGATGCCTGTGCCATGAAAGGGCAGCAGGAACTTTTCTGAGTGCCAAAGAAAACCGAGCGGGGATACTGAGCGGAGCGGAGCTAAGCTAAGCTAAGCTAAGGCCTGCTCAGATGTGCACGTACGTATGGAGCTGTGCCCTGCCGTGCAGCGCTCCCCCACAGCTTCTGGTGGTAAAAAATAAAAAGGAAGATGAAAATATTTAGCTTTTGTCCAAATTCTTCACTGCGTCAAAGTCAGAAGCCGAGGCAGGGGGAGGACACGCTCACTCTGAACAGCTGGTTCACATTTAAGGCATTATTCTTTGTGCGTTTGTTTGTGTTGCTATTTTGGTTCTTTAACATGTTCTCATGCAGGAGTTGCTCAGAAAGAAAACATTTGGGTTTCTCCCCACAGACTGATTTCACTGCTAGCGTCTCACAATGCGAATGTCTGCTAGTTAAAGTCATTTGTAGTGCAAACAGTCATGACTTCACTCAGCTAATGCAGAGAAAACACACACTTGGCTGTGCAGCTGTACGACATATAGATGAAGCTAGGCTCGCTCATCTCGCAGGAATCACTCTCAATTGGAGTCCAGAAGCAGAAATCTGTTCCCAGCGCACAGTCAGCTGCATGGAAACACTGAGCTCATACCTGTCTGCATGCACGATTCCTGTTCATGTAGTTATTGAGCTGCCACTTAGATCTGCAGGCCAAGTTTGCTGCAGCAACATGAAAAGCTTCGACAACTTTGGCAGTGATTCCGATTCCTCCCCGTTTCCTGTTCCTCAATCAGCTTCCTTTCATCTGGGCTTGGCAGCTTGTAGTCATGAACAACACAAACAAATGGAGCTGGATCTGGTCCATGTTTCATGTTTCTGGACTCCTGACTGGGACCCCTACAGGACAGTCACACTGCTTCCTCAGGTCCAGAAGTTGGCCCTATCCAATGGGCATCAGCCTTGAAGCCAGAAGCACGTCCTGCCAAACACTTCCAACTTTTTTCTAACGCTGCAGCAATTATAGAAAAGCTTCCATGTGACGGACGAAATGTGATTAACGCAGTCACCACGAATAGAATGAGCTGGTGGGCACAGATCTGGGCTGCTATTTGACAAAAACCATCCTCCAAAACCAACAAAACACTGAAACCAAGTAAAGGGGGCATTGGAAAGGAAAAACAGAAACTCCTGTGAGCAGTAGTCACATTTCTTTTCCTGGCACATCATGTGAAGGTAAAACGAGTGCAGTCAGGGCTGTCACTCGGTTCTGTGGTAAAATAATTGTAAGTAGCTTTTCGCAAAGGTGTCAACATGATCTGAGCAGGTTCTCCGACTGAGAAGGTGGAGCCATGCAATGCCTGGTATTGTTTTAGGGATGAGCACGATGAAAGACCATCTAGAAAGGCCAGTCGTGTGCATTACCCAAAGAGAGAATGAAAGGAAAGGCGACGGGGAGAAAATTCAGCAAACAGCTTGGACACCACAGACTGGAGTAGCTCCTGTCTTTTTTTCTGTCGAGCAGACCTGACTTTGGCTGCTGATTGCACCCGTCTGTTAGAACATCCCATAAAGCCTCATAACGACCAAGAAAAATGCAGACCTTCCCTTCCCTCTCATGCACCTCTGAGCTACTCGCTAGAGAAAGAACTCAGGAATTAAGTGTTTAGAAGGCAGGAAGGTAAATGGAGTGGGCTGTGAGAAATGTTAAAGAGCGTCAATTAAAGTGCTGTGTTGACAAGACTGCCGCAAATTCACCATCTCGCTGTATGGCTCACTGGAAAGAGGGAGAATTCAGAGCCATTACATTCTCCCAGATCATTCAGGTTGTGGTAAATGTGACCACTGACCTGGCAAGCGTGTCCGTAAAGGAAAAAATTAAGAAGAGGACTTGTTTTTCTTGCATTTGAGTGAATTAACTCGTCTCACTTTGTACCTGGGCTTCATTTTCACCCAAACTCAAGCACGCCTCGGTCATCATCCATGAAACCTTGGTGTACCCAGTAGAAATGTGAGCCGGTTCCTACAGCTAGCTCTGCGATGAGCTTCATGTTGCTGCAGCTGCTGTTCTGAAGACTTTCATGATCTCTGTCTCAGGTCTGTCAAAGGTTCATGAACTCATCGATTGTGGCAGTTTGATCAGGAAGTTTCCCCAAATCTAAGCTTAAGATGATTTCATACAAATCCAATCTTTCTACGTGTGTTGCTCAAGAATGTGGTGAAAATAACCACATTCTGTAAAAAGCAACTAATTCTGGACTCAGGCATTCAGGAAATACTTTGCTGAACTGCAGGCTGTGTTTGTACAAAGCTGACAGGAGACGTGTAGAAACGAATCGGAGAGACTGAGGAGGAAATACAACGTACTAGAGCAACAAAATAAATGCAGCGTGACTTAAACACAGTAAACAGGGTTCAGACAGAAGGGATCCATGTCGCACTAAGGTGTTGTGGTAGACGTTCTGGTCCATG